GGCACCTATGATCAACTACAAGAAAAATGAAATATCTAGGCTCCTTTTCACATCTTTTAAAGAGAGACAGTGTATGTCAAGCTCCAGAAAAGTGCTTTCTTGCCTTCAAGGGCTATGGTATCATATACAAGGAATGTTATATATTTAAGTAAGCAAGTTTTAGTTAAAAACATGCTTAGGCTATTAGCAACCCAAGTATATCTTTGGATACCCAATATATTTTCAGAGATAACACTATCTTTTTAAACATAAAAGGATATGCTCTAAAGAGGAAACATGGGATTTATACTCCCCAAAGGAAGATAGCATTTGGAGCTTATATAAATTGACAGTGACAATTGCAGTAAATTCTCCACCCTATGCAGTTTAAGATTGATTGTTTTGCATTCTAATTTTGGGGGGGAAAGGTCAGAATTAGAACAAGAGAATTAGCATAGAAAGTTAGACAGATGAATGTATTTTACAAAAAAAGGGGAGGCTAATAGTAGGTTTCATAATGTTGTAAAGTATGTAAACAACAAAACGTCGAAGAGCATTTTAAGTTCAAACTTTTTTTGCTGTCACCTTGAGTAGGAGTTTAATCCTGTAACAGTTCAGGATAGGCAGTGGTGCTGCCACACACAAACAGGTGAGTGGCTATACTCCTAAGCATATGATTTATACTGATATCATGTAAAGGCTGCAACCAATCTTTGAGGCAAGTTAATGAAAAAACACTTAGCATTTTCCCTAGTGATGATTTAAGTTTTTCAAATCACTGGATGGTAAAACGCACACCCCACAAAACAAACACCCTGTTCACAAACTTCCATAGTTTAAAAAAGTAAGTATTTTCTACACAATTGCATTTTTAAGGATTATTTGAACTATGGTTATTCTACTCTGGCAGTTCTATTTCTCTCCATAAAGGTGCTCCAGCTCCTGATTCAGCAAAGCACATTGGCATACTCTTAAACGCTTTGCTGAGTTGGAGACCTGGTGAACATTTTATGCCAGGTTTAGAACCTAGGGGTAATCTTAGAGACAGACTCAACCCCCTTGACGATGTCACTATGGAAAAACCTATGCACCATGTGAACCCTTAAACTTTGAGATTTAAGTGGTGCACTGGTCCATGTTTGGGCTCCTGTCCTGAGGACAATGTCACCCATAGAGGACGCCTTGTAACATGCAGATTCCATAGGCGACAATGAAGGATTTAAGAAGCTTTTGATCACAGAAGTAGCCGAGACATCATTTTAGAGCAATGTAAACATGGCCAGTGTAAACTCACTGCAGAAATGGTTTCTATATTTGAAAAGAAGTTTTTGATTCAAGTACCACCACACCAGCCTTCCTTCGTTTTTCCCCAGAGATACATTTGGAACACCCTTAAAATTCAGGCTAGAGGTAGAAAATAAGACTAATTTAGAACAAATAAAAGATATGGAAATGGAGAACCAGGATAAAAAGGGTAACTTTGGCTAAGAGGACTTTCAGCTTTGGGGCGTGGCTGGGAAGGAAGGCTTGTCTAAAATATTTCCTAAAGGAGTTTTGTGGACTCTCAAAATGGCAGTTTTCATGCAGCAGAGCACCACTTATTTCAGAAGCTTAAAACAATGACTTTAAGACAAGTGTATTTACCCGTCTGCACTGGTATTCTTCTTACCCATTGTTCCACCTCAACAGATGGAACTGAAGGCTGGGGTGAAGGTTACAGAAATAAAGATTTTTATAATATATAATAAATACATTCTAAAATAAATCTTCCTACAACGCTGTGGTTGCTTAGTGTATTAAGCAATGTCACATTTTTACATTCGTGTTTGAGATTAGGAGGACAAAATACTTGTAGATCAGGAAGCAATAATGGACTACTACCTGGAGCTCAGAAATGATTTCTGACACTACAGTAAATCAAAAAGTGAATTGAGCATGGATGGAGATGATCAAGAAAACAGATGAAAGACAAAAATCTGATGACCTCTGATTTGGATAAAGCCTGGAGGTTACCTAAGAAGAGAGATGATGAATTTAAAGACATACCGGATTCAAATCCAACAATTAAAAAGAAATCAGCATATTAAATCCAGCAACAGAGTCCTTGAAAGTCAGAACTACATAGGTTTGGCAGTATTGTCATGCTGGGTGCTGCATGTCATTCCTTGATTAAGTAATTACCATGCTCAGGGTTGGTTCATACATAGTGCCATGTATAACTGCAAACTCAAATGAGCACTGCCTAGAGCAGTGGTGTCCGAAGTGGGGTGCGTGGCAGAAGTAGCAGCTTTTTTTATTTTATTTTTATTTATTTTTTTGCGCGCTTCGGCAGTTCGGGCGGGAGTCCGAGCGGCTTTTTTTTTTTTTGTGCTTTGGCACGGCAGAGGGTGCGTGCTCAAAATTTTTTTACTGATGGGGTATGCAATCAAAAAAAGTTTGGAGACCACTGGCCTAGAAGAGTGTTACAAAAAGGGTATTAAGGAAGGGAATTTTGGAGGAAGGCACACATTTCTAGGAGAGGAGACAGAAACCAGCAGGACACAGGGATCAATGTGTGAATTAAATTTAAAAACAAAGGTTAGCAGGAGCAGAAGGTTTATACTGATATTAAGTACTTATGTATACGCATGTATAACTGCAGGAGTCCTTGTTCCAATACCCTTGGGATAGTTAACCAAGCTACAAGCCTTCTGTGTTTGTACATAAAGCAGATGTTGAGCTTCTGATCTAACTGTGAACCACATAATTTATGCAATAGCAAAATTGAAATACTGGAGTCTAGATTACTTGAAAATGAGAGTGGTCACTCTTGGCTGGACATGGTACATGAAAGTGAATTCATTTTAGGGCCATGTGGTCCTGGGGGTATTTGAAGGAAGGATTATGCTCAAATGCAGTTCTCCAAAGAATATTGGTGTAAAAACAGGTTTTGCAATTGCTAGACTCTGTAGCAATTCAGAATGAAAACCTAAAAGTTTGAACTGGTAAATAGTAGTGTCATGGCAAGGGACTGAGTTCTCTCTACTTCATCATTGCATCTGTGTAGAAATTGAACTATTCTATTAATGTCTCAGCTGCAACCTGGACATTGGAAACTAATAGTTGCACAAACAATGAGTCACAACCAGTCATATGTCACTCGGTATTGTCAGCTCAGTAAGCTATCAGTTATGGAAAAATTACTGAGTGGGATCTGTGCATAGCGAACCTCTAGTGAGTGAAAATCGAAAAGGCTTCAAACTGCAACTGCAGCCATGCCCCCTCTTTTCTTAGAGGAAGGGGTTAAGGAGTATAGGAGCTGGGGCAGTAGGGTAAGACTTCACTACATTAGAGTTCCACTGGATACAGGCACTTTAAGAGCTTAAGACACACTGTTCTCAAGATAAGCATTTCAGGGTAGCTTACAGTAAAAGGACACTAGCATGGGAACTTTCACACTTCCATCGCGTGCAGCAATGGAGACATCTTCACTGACATAAAGGAGTGATCCCTCAGCATCTCGATCACCCATTGAAGGGAATGGGGAATTGCACCTGCTCCGTAGTTAGGATAAGGCCCAAAAGGCTATTACACGAATATAGCAGCCTTCTCTCCACTAGAATGTGACCCTAAAAACAGTGGTTAGGAGGAACAAGAAGGGTGTGAGGAAGTGGAAGCAAGCTGGGGAGACGTAAGAAATAAGCAAGTTATCCAGTTTCTGGCGGAGAAAATGAATCTGGGGAGTTCTACAAAGCAGTTCGTAGCTGATTGGAGTTTATTTTTAATACAAGTTGAATGCTACCCTGCAAAACTTCCAGTGTATCTAAGGGGTAAGGTATAGATTTACTTTTCTTCCCCTCCCTCCACACTATGGTTTGGTGGCTACCAGCCCATCCATATTAATATCTGAAAATAATTTATGGCGGCAGCAAGACAGTGATAATTAAAAATTGATGAGAGCTTTTTGGATGAGCTAGTACATTAAGGCAATAGATACTATACCATACTCAACTGCCTACCGTTCTCAAGTTGTGATTGTTACACATTCAACCCTCAAGCAGTGGAATGTCTTAGAACAGTTCAATTTAGCGGGCCAGTTCTGAGACAGTCCTTTTCCTTGGGAGTTGTCAGGCAATGGAGTTTAATGGGGAGAACTATAGGGTCCTGCTGTAGAGCAGTCTACTTTGGATAACATGAGGGCAAAAGCCATGTTTTCAAGCGTGCTGGCCAAAACGGGGATACTGTTAACTGGGGGTGATTCAGCATCTTTAGGCTGCTTTGTAATTGGGGGTATGAACTCTTCACAGCTTTGCATGCAGTAGTCTCCCTAACTCACTATTCTGTTGGCTAGCAACAGCCATTAGAATTCTCTAACAACTTTAAGACTCTAAACACCAACTTATGTCACTTTAGGAAATGTATTCATACTGAAAGTAAATAAGTTCAGAATAGCTCACTAGGCTCCTCACCCTGTTTGAATGGGCAAAACCAGATACTGTAAATTAAGTACTGATTCTACATGGTTGACGATTTTAAAAAATGAGCAGGCAGGAAATCCCAGGTTACAACCATTCCCACCCTTATCACAGTCTTTGGAGGACTTAGCTGAACAAAGCTCTGGTATTGTTTAGTATTCAGTTTCCCTCAATTTATTTTGTGGGACTGTGCTTGAAGTTTAAACAGCCTACTTCAACTATTTATAATCTTTGCCTAGGCAATAGCTACCAATTATAACAGTGGCTGTCTTGCAGCCACTGAAGTTCATGCGTAACGTGTGCTTTGGCTTACAAAAGGGCAGCAGGTATTTCAGAACTTGCTGCATAGGGTAGGTCTTCATTTAGTCACTTAGCAAACTGAATTTTTTCTCCGATTTGTTTATAGTGGCTATTTGGTTACTCACCTTACAAAAATGGCTTCCCTTATTGTCAGACCATCTGCCCTGTCTACATGCCAAATCTTTCAGTAAGTATCATTGGGAGGGATGGGCAGGAAGTGTGCTGTCCAGTCACCAAAGCAGCTGGTAAACCCTCAATATTTTTCAAAAAAAAAAGGTATTGAATCAGATAGTTTGTGGACTAGCCACCTGGTAAGCTTAATTGGTTCAAAATCACAGTACTTCAAAAACTAAAACTGAAAACCCTCACATTTGATTTAATTTTAAAGCAGCGGAAGTCTGCCTCCCTTCCACCATCTCCCCCAACCCAACCAATTTAGTTTTGCTCTTTGGTAGAGCTCGTCTGTGAAACATTTTTCCCTGGAGTGATTTTTAAAAATTAGTCTGGAAGTACAAATTCATGGAGTCCTTTGAACATCTTGTTAGATCCTTACCTATTTAATAGAAGTAAACCCTAAATATTTTTTTATACTCTTTGCTTTTAAATGAGAAGCCAGTGATGAGAGAGAGACATGCTGTTGTAGAAGAACTCTCATTCCTTCTCTCAGCCACACTCAGATACACTGAGACAATACAAAAAATTACTCACATTTTACCTTCCTGCTTTACTTTTTAATGCAACTGGTGGTGCTTCTAATTACCTGCCATAGCACCCCACTTCTATAGGCTCTACACAATACAATACATTTTATCTAGTGTTAGATCACATTTAATATGTTGGCATTCCAATTCCCCACTCAAGTATTTTACAAGGAGGGTCACTTTCTAGTCTATTTTGTATATGCAAAAATTGTGCTCATTTGAAAGCAAAGCATACTGGCAACATCACAAAATCATGGCAGGTGGTGAGTTCCCAGTCAACAACTCAATAACTTTTTAGAGGATCAGTAAGTGCTATACAATTTTTGCAACTCTTTTAGACAGTGACACCATTTTCACAATTCCCCGTGCACGCCCTACCTGATGCACACAGCCTGTTTTCTGGTGTTGAACACTGAATTTTTCTGACTAGCAAAGAGTGCTTTTGCTTATAGTGAAATTTGTAAGACACACCACGAAATGCATTCTGCGGGCCTCAAACAGCAAGTATTGCCACTTTTCCATGTAGTGCTGGAATTTGAGCATCTTCTCCCTATCCCCCTCACCCTCCAAAGCCTGTTTGATTATTTACTAGCAACACAAATAATGTTGCACGTTTCCCTGGTTTTATTTTTAAAAAAATAGCCTCCACCCCTTTCTCCTCACACATAGCTTATTTTCAGTCAGTCACACCATTGCTTGCTTTGTGCAAGTAATACACCACATAACATTCTCTTTACTCATATCTCCACTTTAGCAGATGCATGGTCTCTGATGTAAATACAAAATAGTATAAAGAAGCAAGATTCAATTAAGACAGAGACCTAACAAAGTACTCCCTTTTTAGTTTATCACGATATCCAAATTATTTATCTTTCCCCTCCTCCCCCTATACAAACAATAATTTTCTCCTTCCAAAGTAGGAGGGAACATCTCTCCTACATTTTCTAGCCTGATTGTATTAATATGAGGGCGCTTTTAGATCTTCCATGGTGCCATATCAGGAATATTAGTTCCAGCACAGAAGCCTCCCTGAAAACTCAGTTCTCTGGAGAACAAAAACCCAAACAAGACAACTTTGTTTCTGTGCATGGCCAGGTTTGAATTTAGTGGTAAATCAGCCATTTTCAGATCAAATATTTGTATTGGTTCTCACAGTTTAGAGTGAAGTCTAGCAGGCACACTTCTTCTCCTCTGGCTTTGCTGAATCTAGCTTCCCCGAGCTTCCTCCATTGGCTGTGTCAGATACTTGTGTCTTGTCAACACATTGTTCCATGCGCTTCATTATCAAGTCCAGGAGCATTTCCACAGCTTTATCCACGTTTTGCCCAGTAGCTGCACTTGTTTCAAAGTATGGTATGCTAATATGTAGGATATGAAAAAATTAAAAAGCTCATTAGAAAGGGCTTAAAATGAGAGATAGGCCCCAGAGCAAAACTCTTGATCCAAATATCCTTGAACAATTTTCTTGGTGGGGGAATAGGGAATTTTGGAATTCAAATCTGGCTGGCCTTTATTGCACTAAGTGGGCTGAACAAACCCCCAGATCTTTAACATAGAGGGTTGGGGGAATGGGTATTAATATCAAGGTAAGTTTTGCATCTTGAACCAACTGCCAGTTTTAACTAACTTGAAAGTTCTGGCTTCAAACCAGAATGGCAGCATTTGCATAAACTACAGCTGAGAGAAACAGGCCTTGATAAAAAATTTACTTTTTCCAAGGTTCTGTAAAGAAGAACTGCAGTGCCGTCTCATAGAGAGATGGAACAGGAAACAGAGACGTATTGACAATCACTGTTTAGTGCATTCAGGAGCATTTCCAGTTAAGTTTCTACAGTCACCCTCCCTCAATATTTGGCAACATGGATTTCCAGGCTTCAGAACTGAAGTATCTGCAAATTTGAAGTATTTTATACTTTTATCACAGGTATTTTATGTCACCAGACGTTTCCAGGTGGAAAGTGAAGACAGTCTGCATCTACAGTAGCTCTCAAGGAACATGGAAAATGCCATATCTCCAATAGAAGCATTTATCTGAAGGAAAAGGGTGCAATAACTATCTACTAGACAGTTAGGGAGAAGGCGACCCATAATGGGATAGGATTAAATTTTTCCCTGTGGTGAGCAAGAGAGTTTTAAATTTCTATTTGAAGGTTTTGTTTTTGGATTCTATTTAATGTAGCTGTGGACAGTATGAACTTTGCCTCTAATATCCTGCGTCTGTAAGTTCCACAGGTAGATTCCTGCTTTACAGATTTTAAATTGTTGCCTTTTGATTTTAATGGAACGCATACGGAGAACAGGTAAGTAGGAGTGGCCACAAGGGTTTTTAAAATATATATATACACCCTCTTATCTAATCTTTTCAGAGAGGAGTTTATAGTCTCTTCATAGGGAAGTTTTCCCATGTTTCTGATCATTGTTGTCTACCTCACAAATCCCTCTATTTCTTCTGTATCCTTTTTGAGATGAATGACCAGAATTGAACACAGCATTCTGGGGCGGGAGGCACACCATTAGTTTATGTTACAGCAGTACATTTTCAGTATTGCTGTCTTCTCGTTCTCTATGCATTCTAGTATTTTGCATCAGCCGTCAAACAACAACAGCAAGCAGAAGTTCACATTGAGTGATCACCCATTATTACCAGTTCACTTTTGAGTTGTTACAGTCCATTTAGAGTGTAGCAGTGTGTATGAGTAGTTCAAATTATCCCTTTCAATGTGAATGAAAATATAATCTAACAGTGTTCTCTAACTTGTCAAACTTTGAAACACGTGGACCACTAATTTCAAAGTGTGTCAGGGTGGGCAGCACTGTAGAAGATTTTGCACACCAGACGAATTTCTATAGCATATCAATGTATGTAAATCTCTAACCAACCTAACTGGTTTCCCAAATTTCAAAGCTGCATGGTGGCAATTTAGGTTTTAAGAACATTACACTGATGTAGAGATCAGCTGGAGTAATTTTCCATCACAATTTACTTACCCATATTTATCTGCAAGGTCTCGTGCTTGTCTCTCATTGACTTCCCTCTGATCTGATAAGTCAGCCTTGTTACCAAGTAATACTATATCGGGATTCTCACAATATGCATTGGCTTGCAGTTGACCTAAAAAACAAAAAACAAACCTAGAGTAAAAAGTATTGAAATGCCACTAAGGGCTAGGATTTTTTGTTTAAAAATAATAAAAAAAATGAATTCTTGTACCATATGGACTTTTCATAATACATTGGCTCATTAAAGTAATTTTCTACAGGGGAAAATGGAACAGATGTGATTAGGAATTTATTTCCAGTGAACTAGTCACTTCCCCTCTATACAACCTAGAGAAAGAGGAGAATCAAATGCAAAGATGTGTTCTACATACAGTACTTCAGTCTACAAATAACAGACATCAGTACATTTTGGTTAGGTTTCCTTTAGTACGGACAGACATTTTCCTATTCAAAGAAACCCATTAGGAGATCACAGAAATAAATTCCAAATGCTTTTCACAAGCAGTTATTTAGAAATTTGAGGCCAAATCTTCAGCTAGGCTGGAACTATGTAGATCCACTGGTTTCAATATTTAAGTAATTGCCTTATCTCAAAAATTGGGGGTAAGAAAAGATGAGTAGCTGCAGTATATATTATGTGGAAGAAATTTAGAGGAGCAGTGTGGCAAAGGAACCACTGAAGCAGATAGATTCCAATGCATTAACTTTTCCGTAGCCAAATAGCGGACTGAAGTGGGAGCATGGCTATTGTTATTTCTATCAATAAAGCTATAGCTTGCTATGAAGGGATTTATTTGTATTCCCATATTGCCTTTCACAGTGTTCTTCTTGTGTACACAGGCCAGAATACTCCCAACTAGCATGCAGAAGTTAGTTTACTAACAAACAGCACGTTTGAATTATACAGAACCTGAAATTAAGTCTGGTCACCTTTTGCATGTTGTTTTTTTCCTCCACTATAATAGCTTAACCAGTACTGGACAAGAACACACACCCACACCTCCCTATCTTTTAAACACCTTTATTTTAAATCAGGATGATCCATGCTCTCTAGCAATTTTGGTTTAGCCCTCGCTTCAGGTTCTCTCACATGTTGCTTCTGCCTTGCAAAATAAAATAAATAAAAAATAGCCCCCTCAATTGAAATATGCATAAAATACACATTTATTTTCTCATTTTGTTTGGTAGGCTGTGTTTAAAATCGGATGAAACACCTAACCAAACCTTAGGCACTGGACTGTATTAAAGACCAATAAATATCTTTTATACAAATAAAAATACAAGTAGAAAAATCAGAATGTAACACGGCCCAAATAGTGAGAATACAAAATGTAACAGTCCATAACCAGTACATAAGATCATAATAAGCACATATATAGTATGATTGATTTTATTTTACAAGTCCCCAAAATTGACCACCACAAACCTCTTCATACAACCTCCAACCCGTCCTAGAAAAGGCCAGAGGAATAGATGTGCTTTGCAAAATGCTCTGAAGTTTAACAAGTTTATGTAATTTTCCCAGAGCTGGGACTTCAGAGCCCACCTACTCAAGCCATAGGTTTATGACCACCTGAAAAATATTGGACCACTCTTTGAAATTAACATTACGTAAATGAAGACATGCAATATACAGTAACCTAAAAACCACAAGAAGTTGCTAGTTATCGGATACATGCAAGCTGTTCTATTTTACTTACTCATCCAGTTTCTGACATTTAAGAAGCTCTGTTGACTGGTGAGATCAAACATTAATAAAAAGCCCATGGCATCTCTGAAAAATGCTGTGGTGAGACTTCGAAATCTGAAGGAAGGAACAAATAAGCAGCCCTGTTAACACAGACTGACCTCTAATATTACTAGGTAATCATTTTTAGTGAATGACTTATTGGAGAAAAATAAAACAAACAAACCAAACAGACAACCATCCATCAAAGGGGAGATACAAAAAAAGCTTTTTTTGTATCTCTTTTGCAACAGGCAGTTTTAAAAAAATAAAGTCCAAACCCAGAGAAGTTGCACAATTTATCAGCCAAATGTTTTCATAATAGTCAAAACCCTGTGGCCCTCCTTTTGACTAGATTTATCATAACTATCAGTAGTTACTTATCAAAGTGGGTGTAATTTACCAGAGGATGCTTAGATGTGTGAGAATGTTACGTTGTCAGTGACGCATTGCTAGTTCAAATTCTCTGTCCTTTGGACTAGCCTAAAAATTAACATGTTGCTTTTTAAAAAAAAATCACAAGAATACAGATGCATTGAGTGCATCCTTAATCACTGGGACACAAAATTGGTTCAATTGATGAACATAAGAAGAGCATTGTGAGGAAACTTTTACTTGATGGATAACCACCACCTAATATGGCAGAGATTAAAAGTATCTGGCCATTTAATCATAGTTTAGAATAAAAACAGTTTACTGGGAAGCTCATCTACAGAGGCCCTGATTTACCTGTAGTTGACAAGCTGAGCTCAATGAAACTTGAGTCATCTCTGAATGCACAAAGCCATGGACACAGCACCCAAAATATAGCCCCAGTTTGCTGCCACAGGACCACAAGCCAGAGTCTCAAATAAATTAGGAAACCAAACGCATTAAGAAACTTTCCTACAGAGCTAGAAAATGGAATTCGGTGCTCTGTCTTAAGCCACCACATAATCTGGCACACCTATCAGTAGCAGATGTGGTAGATAAGATACCCCAGGGCACATGCATCAAAATTAGAACAGACTACTGCTGCAGAAGAGAGCCACGCATGAGGTTTCCCAATGACAAGTTAGCTGCAAGAGTGCTACCATAAGATCTCTTTTGTAGAAGTGATGCCTTTGACAACCACATTTAGCCATACTGTATAAGAGACAATGGGACAGATTCAAACCAGAAAAATGGGTGTGTCTTAATAGAGGCCAATTTTAATATAGCACCACAGTAAGTGTGCTCGCTATCTACAAAAACTATGAAGACAAGGTCCCTACCTTGAGGAACTTATAATTTAGACAACACAGACTATGGACACAGGGATAGGTGCTTTAGCTGTGATATTTAGCATGCATCCAGTTCCTCGTTTGCCAGTCATTTATTTTGTGTGACCTCTCTCAGGGGAGGTCTAGGGTACAGAGCCTATGAGGGTCAGGAGGGCTTGAAAGAGAAGGATGGAAACATGGTGGTTCAAACCAAAATTAGTCTTTCCAGGTGTGGAAGCCACACAAAGGTGACAAAGGCACAGACAATGCAATTGCACTTGTTTTCCTCTATCCATTGAATTTTGCTGTAAGCAATTTCCTTCAGTGCTTTCAGGTTCCCTTTAGAAGCATGAAGACAGCTTGTACTCATGGTTTCCCCTTCTCCATTTAATGAGTTGTTTTAGGCTGTTTCCCACTCCAGTGCCTCAATATTGTTTCCTGTTACATGACTGATTTCCCTTCCCCAGCCCACTTCCTGTCTCTAGGCACAGCCAATATTTAATCAAGAGTAGGCCAAGCCATATACTGTATGCTAACAAACCACCATGAACTTTACTGCTACTCCAGAGTAGCTGGGGGAAGCTTACAAAATAAGTGAATACAGTATTTCAGTATGATCACAGCAAAGCAGCAACAGTTTAAAGTTATCTTTCAGGATCAAGAGATGGATTTTTGTTTGTTGTCAAAACCAAAATCTGTGACAGAAGAGGAGTGTTTTTTCTGACTCACCTATTAATTTTTCTAAAATTTAGACAGAATTCTGATTAACTGGATATGAGATGCTGAACTCTGTACATTACCTTTCCTGCCCAGCGGTGTCCCAAAGCTGTAGATGGACCTTAAAGGTTTTTCCTGGAGATCCATTTGGTCCTCTGCTATTGTATATCTGACAAACAGAGTAGAATGAACAAAGAAGTAGTCTTTTGCTTAATTTATTAATGTCTTTCCCATTACTAAAATTTACCCTTAGCACATAGTGCTGTACTGAAACAAAAAGATTCTTCAAAAACAAATGGAGAATAAGTTGGTTTATTAACTATAGCTTATACTTGCTAGAGATTCACATTCACTAATATTCCACTTCAAAGGGCCTCTTGCAAAACAATATTTCAAAACCAGAAAACCAATACTGTCTTCTGAAGATGATTGAGTATACTTAATACTGCCATTTAGATCCCGATTCTGCTCATCTCATTATACAAAGTGTGCTGAAATCACTTCCTAGATTTAATTTCTTTAATATGGCCTGCTGTGCATTAAAGACCTGCTTTTTGCAAAATGCTCCATTCTGGCTATGGTTAATGCTTTCAAAACACTTCACAATGCCATGCAAGCACTTTACATACACTAGTGAGTTTAGGCACTTCCCTTTGAGTTAGGCAAGTATTAACATCCAGGGTTAGAGAACAAGTCAGTTGTAAAACTAGGAATAGAGCCCAGATTTCCTGATTTCCGATCCTATGCTTTATTATGATTGCTATTGTGCTTCAAGCAAACGAAGAGCATTCTTATCTGAAGGCAGAACTTTTTTTCTACATTGTGCAATAAAAAAACTATCCATTTTTGTCAAGGTCTGTGGACATGCACAATAGTTGTATTCTATTAAAACAGTGGCAATGAATGTTAGTACACATGAAAGGAATCAGGTTGACAGCACGGAAGATTGTTATCTTCCATTTAACATTAAGGAACAAATACACCACAGTACAAGCTAGCCTACACTGTTCTACAAGTGTAGAACTGTAGCCTGAAAGGGTCACCTATAAAGGCATGAAGATAGTTCAATCTACAGCCACATTACTAAAGTGAGTCAAAGAAGTCAATAGTTTGTGCTATAGACACCTTGGGAGGCAGTATTTACAGGGGTTGGCAACCTTCGACACGTGGCCCATCAGGGAAATCTGCCGGCGGGCCACGAGACATTTTGTTTACATTGACCATCTGCAGGCGGCGCGGGCTGCAGGGACGTGCTGGCTGCCATTTCCCGCAGCTCCCCTTGGCCGGGAACGGTGAACCGCGGCCACTGGGAGCTGCGGGGGACCATGCTTGCAGATGTTCAACATAAACTAAAATGTCTTGTGGCCTGCCGGCGGATCACCCACATGGGCCGCGTGCTGAAGGTTACCAACCCCAGATCTAGTTGGCTGAGCATTGGGCAGGAGTATCAAGACATGGGTTCTACTTCCAGTTCTATCATTTACTTGGTGTGTGATCTTGGGCAAGATACTATCGCTGTGCTCTTTCCCCTCCCATTCTTTTTCCGTCACCTTATCTCTTTAGGCTGCAAACTAATTTGTGGCAGAGGCAGTCTCTGTAATGTGTTTGTACATCAGCTAGCTAGCACAGTGGGCCCCACTGGAGGCCTTTTGTGCTAATGTAATGTAAATACATAATACCCCACTAGGTTACCAGGCAGCCATCTGAGGGCAACAGCTTCTCCCCTACTCCCTTCTAATTTTGACTGGACTCAAGCCAGAAACTAAAGCAGAAAAGGCATTCTCAACACACCTTAAACCTTTCAGGAAGAGGAACTGTATACATTTACGTTAAGCACGTTCTCAACACTATTGGAAACTAGAAGAAGTGAAGACATTGACGACTTGAGAAACTTACCACACGTTTTTCCCGAAAGTCTATTCCTACTGTTGTGATGAATTTTGGGTTGAATTTGTTGTCGGTGTATCTGTAAAGGAATGTTGTCTTCCCAACCCCAGAATCCCCCAGGGCTAGGAGTTTGATCAGATAGTCATAGTCCCCATCAGTCATAGTGCTGATCTTTATGAACCTGCAGAGAGAGGAAGAACTGGTTTAAAAACAGTGATAAAGATAAGAACATCCAGACTGAGTCTGACTAATGGTCCAACTACCCCAGTATCTTGTTTCTGACAGTGGCCAAATGCTTCAGAGAGAATGAACAGAACAGGGCAATTTTGAGTGATTCATCCCCTGTTGTCCAGTCCCAGCTTCTAACAATCAGAGAATCAGGGACTCCCAGAACTTGGGGTTGCATCCCTGACCATCTTGGCTATCCTCTATGATAGAGGTGGGCAAACTAAAGCCCGCGGGACCCTCCTGCCCGGCCCCTGAGCGCCTGCCCTGGGAGGCTAGCCCCCGGCCCCTACCCTGCTGTACCCCCTCTCCCGCAGCCTCACCTTGCCCCACCGCTGGCGCAATGCTCTGGGCGGATGGCTATGAGCTCCTGGAGCAGCGCATCTGCAGAGCCCGGCCTGACCTGGTGCTCTGTGCTGCACAGTGGCGTGGATGGCTCCAGCCGGGCAGCACGGCTACCTGTCCTGGTGCAGCCGCGCTGCTAGCCACCAGTGCGCCAGGCAGTGCAGTAAGGGGGCAGGGAGGGTTGGATAGAGGGCAGGGAAGTTCGGGGTGGTGGTTGGGGTGGGGGTGTGGATAGGGGTTGGGATGGTCAGAGGGTGGGGAACAGGGGGGTTGTATGGGGCAGGGGTCCTGGGGGGGGGGTGAGGGTGGCAAGTCAGGAATGAGAGAAGGGGTTTGATGGGGGGGCAGTCAGGGGCAGGGAGTTCCTGGGGCTGTCGGGGGACAGGTAGCAGGGAAGGTGGATGGGGCAGGGGTCCTGAGGGGGGCCCCTGTCAGGGAACAGTGGGGTTGGATGGGACAGGAGTCTGGGGGAGGAGGGGGGCATCAGGGGGCGAGAAGCAGTGGGGGATAGGGGGAGGGGGCTGGGCCATGCCTGGCTGTTTGGGGAGGCACAGCCTCCCCTAACCAGCCCTCCATACAATTTCCGAAACCCAAAGTAGCCCTCAGGCCAAAAATTTTGCCCACCCCTGCTCTGTGAAGTTGTCTAATTCTTTAATGCCAGAAGTATAACTGGGTTCAACAAATGAATTCTTAGTATACTTAATTTTAAAAACAACTTTTGTTCATTTGACTGAATTAAATTGCTGTTGTCTGTACTCAAGATTGTCTGCTAAAATGTTTACATAGGAAGAGAGCAGAGGAAGGAAACCTTTAGTTTTAGGTTTTAGCCCATGTAACATGAGAACTCAAATCCTAGTTTGAAAGTTTTAGGGCACGGCCAAGGCTAGTCTAATTTTTAAATCTTGTGAGTTGGTGGAGGCTGGGACAAAATTTCAATTATACTTTCAAACACCTCAATTGAGTCAGAATTTAATGCCAAAAAGGACCACCAGATCATCTCGTCTAACCTCCTGTATGTCACAGGCCACCACCCTCACACAGCACCCATACACAAACCCATCAACCAACATTATACCACAAGAGACTAGACCAGCGGTTCTCAAAGAGCAGGTCAGGAGCCCAAAGTGAGTCACGATTAGGTTTTAATGGGGTCGCTAGGGTTGGCTTAGACTTGCTGGGGCTCACTGCTTCAGCCCTGTGCAGCAAGGCTCAGGTTACAGGCCCCTGCCTCAGGCTGAAGCCCTGGGGCTTTGACCCCCACTCCACCCAGGGTGGTGGGACTCAGGCTTCGGTCCCCCGTGGGGTTGTGTAGTAATTTTTGTTGTCAGAAGGAGGTCACAGTGCAGTGAAGTCTGGGAACCTCTGGACTAGATTATGATGCGCCACAGACCGAATAGGAGGTACCTTCTGGTACCCACAGGGCAACACCAAAACTCAGGGATACAACCTTCTCATCAACCCATTATTTTACTGTAAATTAAAAGAAAAAGGGTAATGCAGATGTAGTTGCATGTTCTTTAAATTCCTCTAATCCTATGAACAATAATAATCCTGTTAATCGTTCAATGGATATGCCATCTGTACTCAATCTTCACACTGAAGAAGCTCCCACTCACTAAGGTTTACACTGTTTAAAAATCACCAACACTGTAGGAAAGTCACAGACACACTCTTCTTCACATCACTTAGAATATAATTGGGTAACAGAGGAAAACGGCATCGTCTTCTCTTGATGATTTGGTATGCAATAGGCCTTCCAGGCTAAAATCAAAACATTCCTCTAGATTGTTGGATTATTCCTACGAATGGCTTTGTAAACTTCTCTGTATCGTACAAGTTGTGTGGCCTGTTCTACAGATGCTTCATGGGAGGGTGTGGGGGAGGGGGAAGGAAAGGGGAGGGTAGAATCAAACTTAGTTTAAAAACCGATTTACCTTCATGTTCCAAAATGGGGAAAAAAGAGGTTTTCCTTTTCCAAGTACAAGAAAGAAATTTCTATCTTCAAGATCAAAGGAGACAGTCAACAGGAAAAAGAATCTCAACTGCTGTATGTGATCAGAGGACACTATCAGTGCTAGACTCACATACATAGGTAGGAGGTGGTCTATTTTGCTACTCCATGATTTAAGTTAAATTTCAGTAAGCAACTGTCCAAAGGTCATTACTAAATGCAAGAACACATCTAAAGCCAAGTTTACTCTTTGGCATGGTTATATGGACAGAAATGTGTCTGTCATGTAGATTTCAAGTGGTATATACTAGAGATGCGTGAAATTTTTAGGAGGAAGTTTTTTTTAAACTTTTAAAAATATAGATTTGGATTAACTGAAGTATTTCTTGGATTTGTGTTGAATTCACCAAATAGTTTTGGCTAATTTAAAAAAAAAAAAAAAAAAAAAAGGGTGACATTCAAAAATGTCAAAATATTTCATTTCAAAATGACATTCCATTTTGGAATTTGGCCACTATAAAAGCCAAGAAGCACCCTAAAATGACCAAATCAAAATGCAACACCCAAACTGTTTCACTTCATTCAGAATGAATTTTCTCCTCAAGTTTTTAAACTTGGGGGGAGGTGAAGGGGGAGAAAGAAGAGAAAGATTTTGGTTCAAAGCGAATCAAATGTTTTTAGGATACTTTTTGGTTCAGTCCCTGTGACCAAGTCCCAGGGAGCTTCACTGAGGCTACTCAATTAGGGTGAACTGCAAAGAATGGGGCAGATAATCCCCAAAGCTGGTGAATATTCCAATACTTAGATTTGCCAAGCCAGCACAAAACAGCTTCAAAACAGTAACACTTTACTGGTTTCCCAGAAGCCAACACCACAGTCCCCTTAAAGAAACCCAACCTTAGGCCTCCACCCAGACACCCAAGTCAAATATGATGAGGATTACTGAAAATTTTATTCGTTAACCTGGGAGGTAATGTGTCCGATCCTTTGGGATGGTAGAACTTTAATATGATGACTATTTCAAATCATACCCAAACACATGCTTACAGCCAATTCTTATTAACTAAACTAAAATTTATTTAAAAAAGGAGAGAATGCGAAAGTGAGTATTGGTTAAAAGATCAATATACATACAGACATGAGTACAGGTCTGAGATCATATTCATAGTAGAGATGGTGAGTTTTGTAGTTGCAAAGAATTCTTTCAGAATTAGTCCATAGGTTTAGTCCAATGTCCACATTCAGGGTGATCCAGTTAGGACTGGAGATCTGTCTTGTGACTTAAGCTTCCCCTGCATGAAGCATCAAGCAGATCTGATATAAAAAGGATCAGGACCCAAAAGGTTTTTATATAGTCCCAGGCCTTCTCTTGACAGAAGAGAGTCCTTAGGCGAACAATAGGCAATCATGGAGATTTTGAAGTAGACCTATTTCCTAAGCATCACTAGTAATTAGCTACAGATTAACATAACACAATTGCCTGTTTTTCCACCATTTGCAGGTGATTTGCTATACATTTCAAAGAGATGAATAGAGTGATATTACTCTGTTTACAGTTCGTTTAAATGTTAAAGTGTCTTTTTGATCTCTGAATTAACAAAGAATGAGGAGTACTTGTGGCACCTTAGAGACTAACATTTATTTGGGCATAAGTTTTCATGGGCTAAAACCACTTTCCACTTCATCAGATGCATGGAATGGAAAATATGCCAGCAATGCCCCTCTGTCCATGTACACGTACATGGACACAAATCAGATGTCAAGAATTAACAATTAAAAAAAAAAAAACAGCCGGAGAACACTTCAACCTCCCTGGAGACGCAATTACAGACCTAAAAGTCACAATTCTTCAACAGAAACTTCAAAAACGGACTCCAACAAGAAACTGCAGAACTGGAATTAATTTGTGAACTGGACACCATTAAATTAGGCTTGAAGAAAGACTGGGAGTGGATGGGTCATTACACAAACTAAAAACTATTTCCCCATGCTAATTTTTCCCCCCTACTGTTACTCACACCTTCTTCTCAACTGTTGGAAATGGGCCATCCTGATTATCACTACAAAAGTTTTTTTCCTCCTGCTGATAATAGCCCACCTTAATTGATTTGTCTTGTTAGAGTTGGTATGGCAATCCCTGTCTTTTCATGTTCTCTGTATATACACATCTTCCTACTGTATTTTCCACTCCATGCATCTGATGAAGTGGGTTTTAGCCCACGAAAGCTTATGCCCAAATACATTGTTAGTCTCTAAGGTGCCACAAGTACTCCTCATTCTTTTTGCTGATACAGACTAACACGGCTACCACTCTGAAACCTGAATTAACAGAATACAGCACAGACAGGGACTGTTTCATATATATTGTTAGAGGTTAACAATGTATATGTAAACACACAAAAATTATCTACCAAAATGTCTAATGGTTGAATCTGGGTCAATTGGCCAGAAAGGATTAAGCAGCTTGCAAGCTATGTGTCACACTTTGTAGAAGATTCATTGCAATTATAGAACACTGGTAGCAACAATGATTTGCATGGTGATACTCTAGTCAGATAATGTCACAGTATCCAAACAGAAATAGTTCACTCAGTTCGACTCCCTGACTTCCCTTTTCTCCTTCTACGTTCCCCCGCCAAAAAGAACAAAAATAATTATTA